CAGAGGACAGAGAGGACAGTGTGGACAGAGGACAGTGAGGACAGAGGACAGTGAGGACAGAGGACAGTGAGGACAGAGGACAGAGAGGACAGAGGACAGTGAGGACAGTGTGGACAGAGGACAGTGAGGACAGAGGACAGTGAGGACAGAGGACAGTGAGGACAGAGAGGACAGTGTGGACAGAGGACAGTGAGGACAGAGGACAGTGAGGACAGAGGACAGTGAGGACAGAGAGGACAGTGAGGACAGAGGACAGTGAGGACAGAGGACAGTGAGGACAGAGGACAGTGAGGACAGAGGACAGAGAGGACAGTGTGGACAGAGGACAGTGAGGACAGATGACAGTGAGGACAGAGGACAGTGAGGACAGAGGACAGAGGACAGTGAGGACAGAGGACAGTGTGGACAGAGGACAGTGAGGACAGAGGACAGAGGACAGAGAGGACAGTGTGGACAGAGGACAGTGTGGACAGAGGACAGTGAGGACAGTGAGGACAGTGAGGACAGAGATGACAGAGAGGAAAGTGAGGACAGTGAGGACAGAGAGGAAAGTGAGGACAGTGAGGACAGAGGACAGTGAGGACAGAGGACAGAGAGGACAGTGTGGACAGAGGACAGAGAGGACAGAGGACAATGCGGACAGAGGACAGTGAGGAGAGAGGACAGTGAGGACAGAGGACAGTGAGGACAGAGGACAGAGAGGACAGTGTGGACAGAAGACAGAGAGGACAGAGAGGACAGAGGACAATGAGGACAGAGGACAGTGAGGACAGAGGACAGAGGACAGTGAGGACAGAAGACAGAGGACAGGGAGGACAGATGACAGAGGACAGAGAGGACAGTGTGGACAGAAGACAGAGAGGACAGAGGACAGTGAGGACAGAGGACAGAGGACAGGGAGGACAGATGACAGAGAGGACAGTGAGGACAGAAGACAGAGAGGACAGAGAGGACAGAGGACAGTGAGGACAGAGGACAGAGAGGACAGAGGACAGTGAGGACAGAGGACAGTGAGGACAGAGGACAGAGAGGACAGTGAGGACAGAGACGACAGAGGACAGTGAGGACAGAGGACAGTGAGGACAGTGAGGACAGAGGACAGAGAGGACAGAGGACAGTGAGGACAGAGGACAGTGAGGACAGAGGACAGAGAGGACAGTGAGGACA